TTGCTTTAGCGCAAAAGCTCAGTTTTATTGTATATATATATATATATATATATATATATATCTGGGTATGCAGATTCTATTTTTTAAGCTTGTCAAGGATAACCTGTTATAGTCCCGGTGTTCGTTGTAGGTCAGCAAATCTCATCGTTAGAGTTCAATTTCCAAGCAACTGACCTAAACTATATTAACCTACTCGACCATTCCATCTAAGAAGATCATGATCATCATTGAACGTCATTAACGGAAGTAGAAACTAATGAGCTTTGCTATTTCATGTGCCAGATGCTCAATTTTGTCCACTCCTGACACATATATGAATGCCAAGTCCTTTGATTGCTTCTTCATGTAAAGAGAAAATTAGCTCGGTCCCTTCAAGAGAAGGGTATGTATTTTGGTGCATATTTAGATTAGGATCAAGAGGTCCTTGTTTTGCTAGGGTTTAATCTTGTCATTTTTCAAAGATTTACAACCTCAATTATTAAAAAGCTTTTAACTAAGATGATATTCAAGGAATTTCAAGATTAAATTTTGCCCATTGTTCATTTCCTAAGAATGAAGTATTTTATTGAAAATGTTCGAACGTTAAGTGACTTACAAACATTTAAACTCAGGAAAAAGAAAAACAAGTTCAAACAAGATGATATGCGTGAGAATGCAACGAAACTCTTGATGGATGCCCCAGCCGATTCTTGATCAGAAGGCCCCATTACACATTGAATGTCAATGCCTCTGAATCAATCAGATCTTGGACCTTGCGCTTCAATGCCCCCACAGTTATCAGTGATGTGCCTTGGACTTCAGACAGTGCTAACATCACGTCCATAGCTTTCAATTCTTTTTTTTGGTACGAAAGGGTGACTCAAAACTTTTATCACAAGATTATCCGTGAGTTACTCTCGGGATCTGTGATTAGTGCACATGTTGAGATGCAATGCATACCATGTAATGCACAATGTGTATATACTAATACAAATATGCACATGTAAATGCAAAACGAGTGTGCAAAATGCGAGTTACAAATGCAGCAAGGAATTGATTTCAAAATAATTTTTCCTAGAACAATTCCTGAAAAACTGACAATGTCTCGGTACATTGGGGAATGAAAATCTGGTCCACCTGTAAGTTGTCTAGCTCCTACAAGCATCTGGGTACTGCATCGTCTTCAAAGCTTCTACTTCATCTCATACTTTTAGAAGTCTCGAGCTGGCTCATCATCTGCAACTGTTGGCTTCAGCATTGAATCGTCTCGAGTCCAACTTGTTACCTCAACAGGCAGATGTTTGGCTCGTCTCCTTGGTAGGTGGATTCCCTCTTGACGCTGCTCGATCTACGTAGAGCATCTTAGAACTCCAACTGATCCCTGCGAAAGGCATTATTGTGGCATTATTTTTCAAGAACCTTCTAAATGACCAGTTATTTAAGGATCAATTCCTTTGAATGATATGTCATGTTTAGGAATGGCAACGGGATGGGTTTTGCTCTCCCGTCCCTGAAATAAAATCCCCATCCCCAAAATGAATCCTCGTCCCTGCCCCGTTCCCCGTTAGGTTTTTTATCGAGGCGCCCCATCGGGGATTTTTTTTGCCCCGTCCCCGAACCTGACCCAAAATATTGTACCCGAATCCGACCCAATCCCGAGAAAAACCTAGTAGTCGTAGTTTTCATAAAAAAATAGAAAAAACGATCACAAAAACTGGAAAATTAGCTTACATGATTTACAATTCAAACTACAATCACAAATTCAAATCCAATTCTAAATAATTATCTAAACTCCAAAATAAAACACATACATAATTAAATACAAACTTGTTCTGATATTCAAATCATACAACGAAGATGTATATGTAATATTAAGTCAAATAAAGTCATCCAAAATCGTCGTGCCACTTTTGTCACTTTCTTTGGTAGCTCCCTACATTGAGAAATTTATCAATAAATCAACCAAATTTTATTTTAATAATTAATATAAAAAATATAAAATATTATATATATATATATATATCATTTTCAATACGTTTAACATTTCACATTCATTATCATTAATTCTTATAATTTAACACCCTTATACATAACATATCATGCATTAACCAAGCAATACACCATTACATAAATCCTGTGATTTATTCCATATAACCAATCACATATACATATCATATTCAGTATACTTATTAAATCTCTTTATTAGCCCATATACACTGTTGAGAACTGAAGGTATGTGAGTACATTGAAGTTGTGCACTAATGCTGTCACCACAGCTCGTATAAGTCCCACTGAGTGGCATATGAAAATTTATCCCGAAGGACCACTGTATTATCCCGAAGGACCTATGAAACCCTCGACTCTTGGCATGCCAACTATACCTGTAGCTCTCGTATCATATAATATGGGTATTGTCATTTGTTCATTTCATATCACTTGTTCTTTCTCTTCTGTCAGATACCATATGTATGTGTAAACATCTATCTCATATCATTTAACATGTATCACAAGTACATGTAATCACGTATTACATGTAATCATGTAGATCATTTCATATGGTTATATCATTTCTCATTTATTCATATACGTATGTCATATCTTGTCTACCTATGTTCATATATATATATGTCACATATACTTTGAATCATTTTTTTTACATACTCATATAATCCTTTCCTATAGTTCATATTTTATTTTCACATATGGCATATCACATAAATCACATAGCACATATAAGCATATATCAGTTCATATAATCAAGTATACATACATTTCATGTCATTCACATCCTTATAATCAATATTCCATACACTATAACTATTGGAAATAGACTTATCACAAGTCTAATTCCTTATAATCCTATAAACTAAAATGCACTCATAAGAATCATAATCTGGAACTCACCTTAGCATTGCTTTGATTCAATCCTAATTCTTTTATTGTTCCGGAACTTGTTTAGGCTCAATATCTACATAAATATAATTTTTAAAACAATTATCAGAAGCCTAAACCTTAAACTTGATGTTAATACTTAAGCTATTTAATGAACCAAAATTCCAATTTTCCTTTAGGGGGAATCGATAACCCCCAGAGGGTATCTGTTCCCTCTGCATAATCTGAAATTTTTCGTTCAAGCCCAGAAATCACATTTTAAACACGAAAATTCCTCAATTCAACTTGAATACGTCATATTTCATCCCTTTCATATTCTTAACTTACTATACATGCTTAACTCATTTATATACATTTATCTCATCTTAAACCTCAAAATCCTCTCCTCTTTATGAACTTCAAGAATCATACCCAATTTTCAATATGTTCTAATTTCAATTCTATCACTTCATATCTCTTAATTAAACTGATGACAAGTCAAATTTAACTTCAAATTCAACTTATAAACTCTTTTCCGGAAATTAATTTAGAAACTCCTTCTCTTTAATCTTTCATAACTTCTTCATCTTTTGATTTTAAGATAACTTAAGCTTTCCTTAAGCTTAGTTATCATCTAATGATCAAAACTAACTCATAAAATCAACAAATAATTGATTAATCAGAAAACTCACCTTTGCCTTGGAGCCTTTACGGGAGGAGGAAGAAGAATGGAGAAGAGTTTGTAGATAACTCCCCCACTCCACGTGATTCATTCATATAAAAGGGAGAAAAATATCTTTCTTGCCAAATGACCATTTTGCCCTTTAATTCCTTTGATAATGACTAAAAACGTTCAGGAAATATTCCCAAATAAATCATTGAACTATTCAACTATTTTACTTTGACCAACAAATTCTGAAATATTTCAATTTGGTCACTAACCCGGTATTGAGGATGTTACAGGGAGGGCCATGCGACTTCTGGACATTATTCGAGCAATTCTTTTCCAATGCATTATTTGAAAAATTCAGCAAACGTAAATTTACAATAAATAAATTTTGTACTAGTTTTGTATATGATAGTTTCCTTAACCACTGTTTGTTACTTTTATTGTTTCATCTTTATAATCAATGGAAATATTAATTTTAGTATTAATCGTCGATCGATCGATGATATTCTTGATTTTTATTTTATTATAATGTATTTTTATTACTTTTATTGTTTTTACTTTTTTAATAATTCTATCTTTATGACATGTTTTTCTCTGTTTATATTGTCATTTTCTCTATTTTTGTGATATATTTTTTTGTCATTTGGTAGTTGTTTTTGTTTATCTTTTTTTCAGGGTTGAATTTGACATCACCACAAGATTAAAATGACCATTTTTTGTTATCATGTTGATATTTCCTCATTTGAATCCACATATTGAATTTATATATGCGATTTGCATTCGTGAATATTTTTTCATATCGCTCGACTCTAATTTACGGTTTATTAATTATCTTTCAATAGCTTAATCCTCTTTTGTGATTCGTTTACAGATGCGGTTCGATCTGTTCGTATATACATTTTATTCTAGTTTATTTGGTTAAGTTTTTAACTTTTTCCTTGTGTGATCTTAATTTGTTAGTTTTTTTGTGTTAATAATTATAGAAAAATATTCTTATTATATGTTTAATTTACGATAATAGTTATTAACCTTTATTGTAATATAAATATTTTTTTATTTTTAATAAAACTAGTCGCTTCTATAAAGAAAATAAACATAAAAAATTATTATAATTTTATAACACAAATTATTAATGTGATAAAGTTTATATAAATAAATACACAAATTATTAAAGAAGATATTCCAAAGAATTAACTCTGTCATTCTCTGTCTCTTTCTAGAAGAAAAACCATCGCAGAACCAATCCATTTACCAAGTATAAACTAAATTGCAAAATGCCAACTGTGCCATCAACTTAGTAGCCCAATGAAAACAAATCATCCCGTAATTAAACGGAAAAGTAAAGGGCAATAACTTAAAAAACGAGAAAGAGGATCACCGGGTCGCCCCATTTAGGTATCAAACCCGTAACTACAAAAACGGGTCTAATCTTCATTTCCCTTGCGGTCTTTGCCTTGGTAGTTTGACTCATCCAGTTTCTCTTAATAATCCAACAGTCTGGACGAAAATCTCGCCTAATACAGTTACCTTAGATTTTTCTTATTACCTGAGCTCTGTTTTAGCTTCAATGGCGGATATGGAGGGAGATTCTAGAGGAGTGCCGGAGAAGGAAGTTGATGATGCAGAAGAGATCAGGGTTACAAACGAGAATAATACTGATAAGGTCATGAATCATCATCAGAAGCAGCAGGAGGAGAAAAATAAGATGAAGAAGAATAAAAAGAAGAGAAGATCGTTGATTTTGCCGAGATTCGGATGCTTGAGAACGGAATCTATTGAAAACGGAGGTGTCGATATGGAAGTGCAGTTTCCGGGAGGGGTTAACGATCCTACTCATCTGGTTATTATGGTTAATGGCATCATTGGCAGGTTAATATCGGTTTTAATCGTTTCTGTTATTATTATGTATGTTTGAAAGTGCTTGATTGATATTTGTGCAGTGCTCAGAATTGGAGATTTGCGGCAAAACAGTTTTTGAAGAAGTATCCCGGGGATGTTATTGTTCACTGTGAGTTCCTCGATACTCCGTTCTTTTTTTACTTTTTAACCTGTGTATGCTAAACGATAGTTAATATCAAATCAATGATGTAATTATGTCTCCTTTTTCTTCTGAAAAAATTAAATTTTTTTACCTGTTTCGTGATTCTTCCCCAATACAACTCACTCCAATGCAAATTTGAATAAATTTAACCTGAGCTTAGGCTTTAGATCTATTAGAAGTTATAAGTAGATAGGTGTAACTAATGACTGTTCCACAAGATTCAAATTTTGATTGTTAATTCCTTAAGCGGTGTTATTTTCATATTTAATATCTTTCTAGATGATAGAGAATTGAGCGCAAGATCATTACCATTCATTAAATTAATATTTGTGATAATTATATTGTTGATGGGTTTCATCTTTCATGATGAAAATAATTACTGAATGGTTAATGACTTAATGTGCAATGCAGGCAGTGAGCGCAATTCTTCAACATTGACATTTGATGGTGTCGATGTAATGGGAGACAGATTAGCAGAGGAGGTATGTGTGCTATGAGTTCTTTTTATGTACCAAAGCTATCTCATTATCCATGATTGCAACTCAGATTATTTATCATTTTACAAGCTGCTGCCTACAGTTAGGATATAGTTACAGTTCTCCAGTTTGATATTGTCTGCACATCCTTTTTTACCATTAATTTTAATTCAGATTTGAGGCTGTTGTATCTTTTTTCAGGTAAAAAATGTCATAAGCCATCACCCAAGTGTTCAGAAGATTTCATTTGTTGGTCATTCATTAGGTGGCCTTATAGCAAGGTACGCCATTGCACGGCTTTATGAACGAGAACAAACTCAAGAAATTTCTCAAACAAATGGAGATTATGGAACTGACCATTTGGGAGATTCATGCCCCGAAGGGCAATCAAATTGCAAAATTGCTGGACTAGAGCCCATGAATTTCATTACTTTTGCAAGTCCACACCTTGGTTCTCTGTGGCATAAACAGGTAGTTCATCCATCTGAGCCTATGTAATTAATAGTTTCTTCGAAAATTATAAGATAGATTTCATTTCCACGCTATTTGATGATAAAATGCATAATTTTCAAGTTGAGTGAAGTCTTGAAATAAGTTCCGATGCAGACTACTGATTCATTTTTTGTGCGGGTATAAACATTGAACAATTAAGTCATTGACCGTTGAGTAAACAACAGTGTATGTTGTTATCATTTGCTCTCTACTATACAGGCTGATAATATTTTCCTGTTGTGGCTTTGCATTATTCAGGTTCCATTGTTCGGTGGCTCCCGTGCACTTGAAAAACTTGCTGCTCGAACATCATGGTTGTTTGGCAGAACTGGAAAACATTTGTTTTTGAAGGATGGAAAGAATGGAAAACCACCACTTCTTTTCCAGATGGTCAGTGATTGTGAAGATCTTAAATTTATGTGAGTTTTTGTAAGGTTCCTTTGTTAGTTTAAAGCATGTGAAATTAGATGGTAAATTACAGGCTTACAGTTTTATCTTTTCTTTGAACTGCAGCACTGCTCTGCAGTCCTTCAGGCGTCGTGTTGCATATGCAAATGCAGATTTTGACCGTATCCTTTATTTCAGTTGATTCTGCTGTTATGTTTTCTCTGCATCACTAATTCTTCAGAGAAGATTTAATGGTTTAACTAGATGTTTTAGGCTCTAGGACATGATTATTTCACATTGAAACTTTTCCCTCTGTTTAAGAATTTGACATGTTTTCTTAGATATTGTTGGGTGGAGTACCTCTTCCTTGCGGCGACGAAATGAGCTTCCAAAGGTAACCATCAAACATATTCGTGGAGGCTTTTAATTGTATCATCGGCTATGAACCTAATGCCAATTTGAATTTCCGTTCACATCAGATTAAACATCTTCCAAGAGGTGACAGATACCCACACATCATTAATTTAGAGGCAGCAAAAACAGCTGCACTTGATGAAGTCCCTTCTGAAGCCAAAATCAAAGGAGATGAGAAAATAAACATGGAAGGTTTATCTTTTAAATTAGTAATCAAATCCTTTAATGTACTTCCATTACCTTTGTTATTTTCGGTTATTGGCATCTTTCACTTTCCTAGAATTGGTCTGGTATATTTTCTTAATTGTCATGGAGAGCTTTAATAGAATTGTCGGCATCTTCCATTTCCTTTTCCCAATTTCACTCAGCAATGCATCTGGAATAATCAATGAAGATGTAGCTAGAATGGCATTAACTCTTAAGTCCATAAACAATGGGCTAGGATGTCATTCACTTAATATACCACTCTATTCAGTTTGAATTAGGATTAGAAAATTCAATCATGATATCATCATACAATTTTCAATATCTGAAAGTGTGTCAGAAATGAGTGTCTTGTGAAAAATGAAGAGTCGGAATGCCATAGCTTTTCAGGGTGTTTGACAATGATTACTCTGTACTTTCTCTTGTGCAGTGGATCACCTATAAGATTATTGCTAAATTGTCAAATATATGAATGTGTTTTCTTTTACCGTGATTTGGTTTATCGTTTATCATTGGGGCACACAATCATTTTGTTCATGGAATAAGATGAAATTTTCTCTTGATGACTGATGACATTATTTTTAACTCATCCATTACATATTTAATGCTACATATTGAGGATACTAGTTGAATAACTAGTTATTATCCGGTGGGCTCAATTTCACTTGTGTTTATCAATATTACAGAGGCAATGCTCAAAGGTTTAACAAAACTCAGCTGGGAACGGGTTGATGTTTACTTCAAAGGAAGCCGACAAAGACTTCTTGCACATAGTACCATTCAGGCAAGTCATTCTTTACAAACTCATTGCCTTGTGAATAGAATCTGATTTGGTTGACAACCTAACTGGTTGACCCGAGTCGAGTTTCATTCGGTTCGGATCAATTCAATTCCTTTTTCTTAATCTTTTAAATATCATTTTTCATAGTATTTTAAGGGTGTTTTCTTTTTCTTTCTAATCTAGATATAAAATAGTAACTCTGATAGATGCCGCTACCTAAGTGGTACTATTTTATCACCTTATGCTTTTTTTCAGGTTAAAAACTACTGGTCTTATTCGGATGGAGCTGACGTAGTCCAACACATGATTGACAATTTTCTCTTATAAGAGGTCCGGATTCGTTGTTTATTACTGTACTATAAAATTATTAAAACTGTGGGCGTGAGGTTGGGACGTATGAATTTTTTTAGTTCAATTGGCCTTGTATTAAAGTGGTGGTAGCCATTAATGCAAAGCAGAAGCAGGTCGAATACCCATTATGTCATGATTTAGAACATGTACATGTAAATTTACTATTGGCATATATTTATAGGTATTCCATTGTCGTAGCTGCCATATAAATGTGTTCAAAATGTTGTAACTATTAGATAGTTGAAAGGCTCAACCTGGTTTATTTTCAGTTAGAAAATAAGATGACTCCACGTATGTGGGCATTGGACTTTTGGTATGACACAGAGTTGTTTACAGTTAGAAAGACTAGAACGTCTTGTCGGTTGTGTTGGGCTTTAATGGAGAAACTATCAGTGTCAGAATTATTTTATATTTTTATACAATTTTATTGGTAATTAAAAGAAGGAAAATCTGTCTCATATTATCGGCTTTTTATTTTTCTACCAAAATATACTAACTTTTAAAATTAAATATCGTAATAGCATCTGATTATTAGGATGCGTTTGGTTCACGGAATGTAAGATTACTAATGGGAATAAAAGATTACCAGTGGGAGTAAAAGATTACCAGAGAATAGGATTACAAGGAATGTTGCATTATTGTGTTTGGTTGGTTTGACACGAATGTAAGATTATCATGTTTGGTTGAAAGAATAAAAGATTACTAGAATGTATATTTTATCAAATTGTTTTTGTTCTATATTTTTAACAAGTAAAATTTTAAATATTTAAATAAAAATTATTTATATAAAAATTCTATATGTTGATAATATATTACTTGAGTATTTAATTATATTATGTATTATTTTAATTTTAATTAATATTAAATTTTACATAATTTATGGTAAAAAATATTAAAAATATTACTGTGTTTATGATTTTTTTTAGAGATTTTCTCACTGGGGTAGTGTGTTGATGACAAAAAGCTTCGATCTTTGGAGGCTAATGCGTTCAAGGAGGCTACTTGTTTCCATCATGAATGAAGACAAAGTTAACAGATGAGATAACCATACATCTTTGGTTCTTATATCGTTTTCTATAAACCATGAAGTCCTGAAACTATGTCTTATATTTTAAATTCATCTCTGGATTTTAAAATATTTTAATTGTCTTAAAACTATCAACACCATTTCAATTAGGTCATTTTGTTAGCTTGAATATTAAATATTAACTTTGATTTAATGTAGAGCATAGTTAAAATACGTTGATCGAATTTTAAACACGTATACATGTGTTGCATGAACATAAAGGAAGCTCACTTTGTCCTAAAGTTTTACATCCAGAAAAACAATGCCTGAATAAGTGAAAGAAAACACAAAATCTATTCTTCATTAGCAACCTCCCATTCCAACATCGTCTGGACGGCAGTGCAGCGCGACGGATCTTTTCGCTAGATTGGTTCAAAAAAAGCGGTTAAAAGCTTAGCAAATTGTTTCCGTCGAATATCTCGACTATTGAAAATAGCATCGACAATCCATTGCCTTACCTGTTTCAATAAAGAGAAGTTTGAGTTTGTTCAGATAAGATAAAAACTGACGTTTTCCGGCAAAAACAAGTAGTCGAAATATAATGGAAATCCTGTGTCATTAGTCCATTAATGAGAAGAGATGCAGAGAGACGCAAACAGTCTGAAAAACAAGTTGAAAAGTTTTTCACCGGGAAATGACATTAAAGCTAGCATGAGCAGCATTTTCTATCCACACTTGACATTACAAAGCAATAAATGAACACTATTTAGCCAGCTCTTGGGGACAAGGGAACCGTTCATACAATATGAATGAGCTATTGACATTTATAACACAACATTGCAACATAAGGAACCATCAGTCAAATTCAAGAGGCAGATAACAAAAAAGGGCATGGTTCATTAAGACCAGCAGAAGTAATAAAAAAATAACAGTCTCAACAACATAACAGGTAGGGGGACAGCAGACGAATTGAATCAGACGGGCCAGTAATATTATCATGAGCAAAAGCCATTATGATTAAGCAAATTATATTAAGTTGTCTAAGAAATACAAAGGATATACATTTAGAGAGTACAAGTAAAACATCTTTTTTTTTTCATGCCCAAGGATACTCTAACAAGGATACTACTCACAGCGATGAATCCTCTTATTTAGAGATTGCATGTTACAGGGTCACTTTTGAACTATGGTGGCTTCATGATATAACTCTCTAGGTTCATTGATGCCCAATTTCTGTCCAGGAAAAATATGCCCTATTTCTTCCAACTTGGAATTGTCCAATAAAAAGTCTATAATCATTTCAAAGTTGTTTACATGAGCAATAAGTTAGGTCTTATGCATACTGCCCTGCGTACACAGACACTTAATAGTATGATTTAGGTAGTAACAATAATGTATACTACACTTCCGCCTCAACTTAAGTAATATAGGTTGGTGTTCTCAGCAGTATGAGATTCAAAAAATGCCTGCTCTTATTTTCCAATAGGAAAACAACAAATTTGTTAGCCAGGAGCAGATTTAATAGGGTTTGTCCACGTAAAACCACTCTTGATGAGAATATATATGCATATGGCTGGGTAAAAGATAATATTATTTTCTCAAAAAAATCAGAATTCGAACCGTTACAATTATATAGTGTCTATATGTGTTGTTAATTGACTAAGAAAAAATTCAGAACATATACTAACTTCTAAATTGTAATCACTCCAACTATTCAACATACATATATATGGCATTATAGCACTGGCAACAAGATGCCATTAAATTAGAGCAAGAATTAGCGCATAAAATAAGTATATATCAAGATCAAACACTGGCAATTTTGCTAGACAAAAACAGTTCCAAGGCTAGACAAAGCATTCTAAATGCAACTCATAAACAAAGCATTCTAAATGCAACTCTTAAATTTATCATTCTATCCAATTTTTAAGACAAGAGTAATCGTAACAACGAAAACATCATCAATTTATTCAAAGCATACAATGCAAAGCTTCGAATAATCCACATAATTCATATGAACCCAAAGAATTCAGCTCAATAAAAGCATTCTAAAACAGCAGATACAACCTAAAATTTCAAATAAAGCTGTACAGAAAAATCCAATTCCTAGCCAAAGAAATTATTTAGTTCAATAACAATATAATAGAGACCAACCTCAATCACCGAAAGTCCCAGCTTTTCAATTCCACATTTCAGCTTGAAAAAAAAAACCCAAATAAAAATATACCCACGTTTCGGCTCGTAAAGTAAGACTTGGAAACGATTCCTGCACACAAAATGAATAATCAAATTCAGTGTTCAAATCAATCTAAAAACTACAACATAGATTCATTCAATGCAAAATTCACATAGATAATTTCAACTTTAGAGTATGAGATCAAAGAACTAAATCAACAATTTAATCGAAAAGACGAATAAAATAAAAAATATCAAATCATTTACAGAAAAAATAAAGAACAACAATTTCATAATGATTTCGTATACATATACGAGATTGAATAAAAATGAAAGGGAAAAAAGGAAGAGACAAAAAGTAAGGAGAAATAAAAAAAAATTATTAGATTATAAAACAATAAATGAAATTTGAATAAAGGAAAAATGAAAGGGGAAACATACGAATTTGCGGAGGAGGGAGTCAGTGAAGGGAAACCATGGGGATAAGCAAACGTTGCGTGGGAAGAAGGGGATGAATCCCCATAGCCAGAACAAAGTGGTAAGAAGGTTATTTTAGACAATGGGGACGAGAATAATAAAATACCTGAGGAGATGGGGATAGATATTACCGGGAAAATAGGGGGAAAATCACTGTTGATATTAATTCATTCCTGGCATTTGGTAATGTTGTCATCCAAATATGGGTATATTTTTTTGGGAAAAAAACATTCCTCTTGGGAATAAATTATACCGTGAACCAAACGGGACCTTACGAATACATGAGACCTTACGAGAAACGTTAATTTTTTGAAATATATCGTCTGTAAACATTATTTTACACGTTGTATACAATTTCGAATGGAACTCATGAAACTGTTACCGTAATAAAGAATTTACTCGGTCTGTTATAAAGTCTTTACTAAAAATGTAATTAGAAATTTACTATCATCGTAGTCTTTTTAACTATATCAATTTTATTGTATTTTTTTTGTTATTTTCTCATGCGATTTGTATCATCTTATTGTTTTTATTACGCAACATATATCACTTATACTTAATATGCCTCTTTTTCTTGTAATAATAATAGGTTTTTTCTGTGCTCTTGGATTTCGACCTAATCTCCACGATCTCTCAATCTGAGACAATTTCTTTAAATACAGTTAAATGATCTATCAAAGATATGCCTTCAACCGAACAATAAAAATAAAGATATTGCTTCACATTTAACTTACTAGTTAGACTTTTTGACATGCATATTTGTTCTAGCTTCAACCATGATGCAACGACGCTCTTTTCCTTCAATATGTCATGTAGAATTTGGTCTAGAAAATCCTATAAAAAAAACACGGGCATAAGAGGAAACAAATTCAATATGTGAAAAAGAGTAATACAATAATGTTTGTAGAAACAACTTGACTTCTAACTCTAATCTAAAGTATTTATTTGTATGAATAGTTATTTGTATACAAAGAAACTTATTTAATAGAAATCTCAAAATATGTGTTCTAATATTAATTATCGTCAAAGAAAATAAGGTTCCTACTTTCAATCAAATTGGACTTTTTTTTTTTTACTTTTCTCAATTATATTAAACTTTTATCTTTATTGTCAAACTCTAACAACTCTATCAACAAAATAATAAAACCTTAAATTTGAATAAAAATCAAATCAAATGATATGATTAATATATAATGGGTGAATATTGGATATATTGACGGTGTATGTTTATACATCGTCAGTAAATCATACGATAGCACTTCATCAATAATAAATTCAAAGAAATTAATTTTAAAATTTCATAATAATATTATTATCTAATTTATTAATAGTAAATAAAATTATACACATCAATAAAATAAATATCAATTCATATATAATGTGTTAAACAACCTTTCATCTCGATGAAGCGATTGTGAAATGTGATTTTACGTTGTGTGGACCTAAGCCTTTATGTAGTTGAATACGCATACTTGTAAACGTAATGAACCACACACATTAATGTAATAAAGACAATTGCCATTTGCCAAGTGTCT